ACAATATTTAGGGATCTTGTCTTGAACGGTCCCGCGTTTGTCCCGCGTTTGACAGTATCAGTGAGAGTTAGCCTCATCGGGGAGTTACCAATGGTCGAACAATGTTTACGAGCGTCTGCACGTTCGATTTGGCGCTCGTGTGTGTGTGGTATGTAGGGGTGCATAATGTCGTGGACATCAACGTGAAGCATCAGTGGAAGTACCGAGAGACACAAACGCTCAACAAAACCATTTCCTCCTTGTGCGATAGCAGTGCGGCGTTATAACGGTCATACTTGGCTTCATGGAGCAACAACAGAGGATTTCGAAGAGGACCCATGGATGACCGTCATCCCATATATGAATCGACATTTTAACCAATGGAGCGATAGTAATTGGAACGCGATGGAGAGTGCCTGCCCTTGGGCAAACCATTACAAGTTTGCAAATATGTTGGAGTTCGGGAGTCTCATTCTAGTGCCGGATCGTCTTCTCGAGCCTGTTTTCCTCACCCGTTTGCGTAAAGCATACCGCAACATTGACCGCTGTATCACTCGCCTCGATTTCGAGTACATCACGAGTTCGCCACGAACTTGGAGGACTTCGTTGTCATTGTTCATTCTTGGAGCAGTACCCGTTGCGTTGCCCAGGGATATATCCATGAGCTGTGTCATACTGTTGCATGCGATTGAGTCTTACCGGATATGAATTCGCAAGAGTGTTATGTGTCGCTTCTTCAAACAAATCCTGCACTGTGGAAACAGCTGGAAGATCTAGTGAGGGCAGGCCATATGGAAAATCCTGCACTGTGGCAACAGCTGGAAGAGAAAGCGGCGGCCGTACGAGACGCTATTGGGAAGTCCTTAGCAGGAACGGGAGGGTTCGTTAGGTTGAAATATATGTCGGTGTTTTCGAAAAATGCAACAAAGCAGAAGTCGCAGATCCACGTATATGGATCGACTAAGAATGCTCTGTATGGCTTCAGTCCACGACCTCGTCTGCAACAAACCCCGTATGTCACAAGAACCGGATGGGTTATCAGACCTCCTACTTAAAGGATACAGTTAGAGACGATGTATATATAGCGGGTCCGGCGTATTTTTCTGTTTTTATCGGGAATTTTGATCGTCTACGCGCTAAACTTGCAGGATGGAAGCCGGTCAACCAAACTCGCATGGAAGCGGATCCCCTCATCACGCTCCGTCGACAATTGAGGATCTGATTATTTTAGGGACTAACATTTGGTCGGTCGATATCATAGAAGAATTTGAGAATTATGGTTACATGAATGTCGAAGAAGAAGTTTGGCCTGATGGAGAGCTTCTGCCGATCATGGGTCTCGTCAACGGAGAGGAGACAGTCGTCGTCGACAATGGATCGAATGTTTGGTACCTGTACACTGAGTTGGATGAGGCGTGCGTCATTATGTCGTCAAATAACGTTGTGGATCCTCCGGAGATGCTAGCAAACTAGAGGGAGGTATGCAGGAAACAGGACTGGGATGTCAAAGATAAATTTGAACAAAAAGTATGCGCATGGCGTTGCATCGGGAGAAGAGCGTTGCTCGCACCGGTGATGATGAGTTAGTGTACAGGGTAGACAGTTTGGTGCATGCGCAACTGCATTATCTTTTTGATAAATGTGAGGAGATTGTAATCACAGTCGAGCACAGAAGATGTGACACAGATAAATTGACTTTGTCGAAGCAATATCATCGATCGGAACAGAAAGAAGTGTCGTTAGTGGGCGGCAGAAGAACGATCGTCGTAGATTGTCCATACTGTGTACGATTGAAGCACGGAAGGTACTTTTTACCTCTTATCCTTTGCGGGACAAAGGATAACAACCAGTAGCATAGCAGGTTGGTGATAGCCGACAAGTGTTCCAGA